ATGGTGATGACGATGGTGATGATGATGGTGATGACGATGGTGATGATGATGGTGATGATGATGGTGATGATGATGGTGACGATGATGGTGATGATGATGAGGAGATTGGGATGCTACTGATGATCATGATATTGAAACTGATGATGATTGATTGTGAAATTAAGATGAAAATAATAATGAAAATGATGTTGTTTATGATGAAAATGATAGCGGCAGTTGTGGTGATGATTATTTATGATGATGACGAGATGATGATGGTGATGACGAAGACATGATGATGAGATAGTGATGATGATGATGATGACTATCAACACGCAATATCGTAAATGTGAAAGAACATCCTAAGTTGAATCTGTGAGTGTTCTTGAACAGATGAATGAACAAACGAAAAGAACAATTCGATGTGCTTACAACCGATGTAGAAAAAAGTTTTAGCAATCACCATGAGAGATGCTTTTCCTACCAAACGTAACTCCACCAATGAGGGACCTAAATTGATCTTGACTTTTCACCCTAACAATGTGGTTGCTTCCAAAGTATTCTTTCGTCATTTGGACATCCTCCGCTCTGATCCGGACACCAAGATTATCTTTAGTGAGAAACCTAGATTAGTTTACAGACGAGATCGCAACCTTAAAGACATACTTGTCCGAAGCCGACTCCCACCGATCCATACAGCACTTCCTCTTGGGACTACTCAGTGCTCACGCAGCACCTGCAAAACATGTCCTTTCGTTGTCCAGACTTCTTCGGTCAGTTTCCCTAATGGTTCTTTTCAAATTAGGGAACCTTTTACTTGCGAATCCCGCAACGTAATTTATGCAATTATCTGCAAACGATGCAGCATGGCATACATTGGGGAGACTGGCAGGATGCTAGCTGATCGTTTCCGGGAACACCTCTCTGATATCGACAAGAAGACACTCAAACCAATCCCTCTTCATTTTAATAGCCCTGACCACAGTGGTAAAGATGACATATCTGTCACAGCATTAAAATCTTGCTCTGGCGATCATACTACCCGCCTCGCTTTGGAAAATCGCCTTATCCACAGCCTTGGCGTTCTTAGTCCAAGAGGTATCAATATCCAACATACCTTCATCTAAATAGTTCTAATCTTATTACATTTTAAATGTTAATTATTTTATTTTATTTCATATTATTACCATATTCTATTTCTTATCAATATCATTTATGTATCATTAACACTTGCATTTCTTTTATTCCCAGTATTGTGACTATATATTTTTTAGCCATCGTTTATTTTATTTTATTTCATTTATTCCGCATCAAATTTTTTAAACGTCGCTCACGTCACCCCTTAGAGATCTACATACTCTCCATTCCTCGTTTGTGTAGTCCACTTGTGTTTGAAAAAGGCTGCCTGGCCGAAACGTTACGTTGTGTTGTTTTGTGCACGTTTTCCTCTTTCCCATTTTGTTGAGCTTTTTAGTCAAATTTCTCTGGAATTCATACAACCGATGTAATACTGAATGTTGAATTAAGAATCGACATCACAGCAGTCGGGACACTCCCGAATTGGCTCCGTCCCCATCTTCAGCAGCAAGCGAAGAGTTCCAATTCCGATGGCACAGGTAACCGTCTGATTGTACATACATCTCACCTTGCCTTGAGTGTCCAGCGTCAGCCAGATCCCCTGGTAACTCCTCGCAGCGCCATTCTCCTCAGACCAACTGATCGGTCTGCGCCTCTGCACTGTTCACTCGCTCCCAAAGAGCCCTAACAATATGTGCTACTGGAGCGACTGGAGTGTACACACAGCTGGTTGCAAGAGCCGGACTATCTAGGGATATGTTCGGTGTGTACACACAGCTGGTTGCAAGAGATGGACTATCTAGGGATATGTTCGGTGTGTACACACAGCTGGTTGCAAGAGATGGACTATCTAGGGATATGTTCGGTGTGTACACACAGCTGGTTGCAAGAGATGGACTATCTAGGGATATGTTCGGTGTGTACACACAGCTGGTTGCAAGAGATGGACTATCTAGGGATATGTTCGGTGTGTACACACAGCTGGTTGCAAGAGATGGACTATCTAGGCATATGTTCGGTGTGTACACACATCTGGTTGCAAAAGATGGACTATCTAGGGATATGTTCGGTGTGTAAACACAGCTGGTTGCAAGAGACGGACTATCTAGGGATATGTTCGGTGTGTACACACAGCTGGTTGCAAGAGATGGACTATCTAGGGATATGTTCGGTGTGTACACACAGCTGGTTGCAAGAGAAGGACTATCTAGGGATATGTTCGGTGTGTACACACAGCTGGTTGCAAGAGACGGACTATCTAGGGATATGTTCGGTGTGTACACACAGCTGGTTGCAAGAGATGGACTATCTAGGGATATGTTCGGTGTGTACACACAGCTGGTTGCAAGAGATGGACTATCTAGGGATATGTTCGGTGTAATTCAAACCATACAAATCAAACAATTTTTCGAATTCAAGCATGTCGGTTTCTCCACACACACACACACACACACACACACTCACACACACACACATACTCACTCACTCACTCACACATACACAGACGCGCGCACACACACACACACACACACACACTCACTCACCACATGCACACGCGCACACACACGCACCCAAACACGCACACACACACAGACACACGCACACACACACACACATACTCACTCACTCACACATACACACACACACCACACGCACACACACACACACACACGCAGGCACACACTCACACGCGCACACGAAGAAAGAAAAATAGCAACCGGAAATTCACCGAGAGCTGCTCTGCACCAAACGACAGTGGAAGTGTACGTCCTTGAACTTCCCGACCAACGACAAGGCCGTCTTCACCCCCAGAAGCATCTACCATCTGGTCTGTGATCGTTCTCTGTTTGATGTTGTATAAGTGTTAATCAGTGTATGACGGACACGCGTCGGGTATTTAGACTGCGAGTACATGTTGTATCAGTGTATGACGGACACACACGTCGGGTATTTAGACTGTTAGTGCATGTTGTATCAGTGTTAATCAGTGTATGACGGTGACGGACACACGTCAGGTATTTAGACTGTGAGTACATGTTGTATCAGTGTTAATCAGTGTATGACGGACACACGTCGGGTATTTAGACTGTGAGTACATGTTGTATCAGTGTTAATCAGTGTATGACGGACACACGTCAGGTATTTAGACTGCGAGTACATGTTGTATCAGTGTTAATCAGTGTATGACGGACACACGTCGGGAATTTAGACTTCGAGTGTATGTTGCACTCATATACTGTTTCAGGCGTCAGAGATGTGGTTTCACAAATGAATTCTTAGAATTCCTAGGGCAACAACCCAGATGTTTGGAACGAGGCCAGGCTCAAAGACAATATGTATGGCAAAAATCACACAAAAGGGAGTCATCATTTTGTGTGCGTCCATATAATGAAAGTGGTTTAGTGGCTAGACGATCGCTTGTGAGTCGAAAGTCATGGCAATCAGGTCATGGTTGAGCTAAACTTGTTACCAACTTTAAGTGGGTACCAGGTAAAGTCATGGGAAATAAAGACAACCGGAATGATGGTGAGCACATCGCCCACCGAGTGCCTGAAGACATGGCGAAGGGTTCTTTTACTTTATCAGAAGAACTAGACAGGAACATGTCACTTACCGTTTTTAACCGGGCTGTACCAGTTTTTTTTCCCTACTTATCCCCGCTGTCTGGTCGGCCCTCCAAAAAATGGTTGATTCTCCGGTCGGCACTCCAACACATGGTTGATTCTCCGGTCGGCCCTCCAACACAGGGTTGATTCTCCGGTCGGCACTCCAACAAATGGTCGATTGTCCGGTCGGCACTTCAACAAATGGTCAATTGTCTGTTTGGCACTCCAACGAATGGTCGAGCCAGGCGGCACTCCAACAAATGGTCGATTGTCCAGGTGGGACTCCAACAAATGGTCGATTGTCCAGGCGGCACTCCAACAAATGGTCGATTGTCCACTTGGCACTCCAACGAATGGTTGATTCTCCGGTCGGCACTCCAACACATGGTTGATTCTCCGGTCGGCCCTCCAACACAGGGTTGATTCTCCGGTCGGCACTCCAACAAATGGTCGATTGCCCAGGCGGCACTCCAACAAATGGTCGATTGTCCGGTCGGCACTTCAACAAATGGTCAATTGTCTGTTTGGCACTCCAACGAATGGTCAATTGTCTGTTTGGCACTCCAACGAATGGTCGAGCCAGGCGGCACTCCAACAAATGGTCGATTGTCCAGGCGGCACTCCAACAAATGGTCGATTGTCCAGGTGGCACTCCAACGAATGGTCGATTGTCCAGGCGGCACTCCAACGAATGGTCGATTGTCCAGGTGGCACTCCAACAAATGGTCGATTGTCCAGGTGGCACTCCAACAAATGGTCGATTGTCCAGGCGGCACTCCAACAAATGGTCGATTGTCCCGTTTTTAAATACAAATCGAGGAATAAACAGGAATATCGTTTGTTCTCTACACGGCGTTAGTGGAACCAGTAGAACAAGGCCTGCGGTCTAACTAGAGCAACACGTTTTAGTATTAGTTACTGACTATACCTTATATTATTTATAGGCCTATCTGTTCTCATGTTCTCAAAATGAGTAGTTCTTTGATGGTTGATAACGTTGATGATGATAATGATATTATTAACAGTTCTAGATTACTTTTTATGTGGGTATGTGTGGGGAAGGGGGTGGGGAAGAGGGAGATGGAGGGAGTATGGGGAATGTAAACTGACCAGCTTGGGAAGTCTTTTTTTCTCCTAAAATAATGCTCTAATATAAGCTTCAAAATTTATATGTTTTCAGCTCAAGAAGATGATGGTTACCCTACTGAAAACCATCTGTGAAATGAATATTTAAGGACCAGTGGCAGCGACGGCAAAACGATTAGTACATCTATAGTTAGAAGATCCACCGGCTGAAGAGTTGTTTGGAAATTTCCTATCGTACATACACAGAGAAACATGCAGCTTCTCACCCGGTCGGCCTGTAGGCTGGGCAAGTCTTTCTGCACCAACTTGCCTTGGTTGAGACCTGAGTTGGCTTCCCTACAACATGTTCCTTGCAGGGTTTCCACGCCCCAGCAGGAGCAGAGGAGACACGGCACCACGATCCACGAGGACGCCCATCGGGAAAGGAATCCATTGTATCAGTTTTGGGGCACGTGGCACGAGAAGGATAGAGAAAACTTTACCAACTTTCTGGAAGTCGTAGGTAAATTGTTGTCTCCGTCTATCCACCCCTCCCTCCATCCCTCCCTGCCTACCTCTCTACCTCTGTCTGTCTGTCTGTCTGTCTGTCTGTCTGTCTGTCTGTCTGTCTGTCTGTCTGTCTGTCTGTCTGTCTGTCTGTCTGTCTGTCTGTCTGTCTGTCTGTCTGTCTGTCTGTCTGTCTGTCTGTCTGTCTGTCTGTCTGTCTGTCTGTCCTTCTGTCTGTCTGTCCTTCTGTCTGTCTGTCTGTCTGTCTGTCTGTCTGTCTGTCTGTCTGTCTGTCTGTCTGTCTGTCTGTCTGTCTGTCTGTCTGTCTGTCTGTCTGTCTGTCTGTATATTCTATCTACATAATATACTAGTCACACAAATTGTAATGAGATGGGATGTTCTTCACTGAAGAAAACAATCTGTTTTAAATGGACCAATAACAACCGTATGAAATTTAACATAAATAAAAAACTAAATCTCATCTTTGTTTGTGACAAGTCTTGCCCCTAACCCTGCTTCTTTGGCTTCTTCTTTTCTACTTCTGCTTTTTTCTACTTCTGCTTTTTTCCTACTTCTGCCTCTTCTTATTTCTACTTCTGCCTCTTCTTATTCCTACTTCTGCTTCTTATTCCTACTTCTGCCTCTTCTTATTCCTACTTCTGCCTCTTCTTATTCCTACTTCTGCCTCTTCTTATTTCTACTTCTGCCTCTTCTTATTTCTACTTCTGCCTCTTCTTATTTCTACTTCTGCCTCTTCTTATTTCTACTTCTGCCTCTTCTTATTTCTACTTCTGCCTCTTCTTATTTCTACTTCTGCCTCTTCTTATTTCTTATTTACTCGTGGGTGGTTTTCTGCCTCTTCTTATTTCTACTTCTGCCTCTTCTTATTTCTACTTCTGCCTCTTCTTATTTCTACTTCTGCCTCTTCTTATTTCTACTTCTGCCTCTTCTTATTTCTACTTCTGCCTCTTCTTATTTCTACTTCTGCCTCTTCTTATTTCTACTTCTGCCTCTTCTTATTTCTACTTCTGCCTCTTCTTATTCCTACTTCTGCCTCTTCTTATTTCTACTTCTGCCTCTTCTTATTTCTACTTCTGCCTCTTCTTATTTCTACTTCTGCCTCTTCTTATTTCTACTTCTGCTTCTTTCGTCTGCTTCTGCATTTTTCTAACGCGTCCCACAACTAAACACATGCTGTCTATTGTTGCACAGTTTGGGATGTTGCGCCAAATCTCACGTTATACACCTGGTTTCAGATAGAAAACATATCGATAAAAATCATCTATATAGCCATCAAGGACTTCTAAATTTGTTACGTTTCTCTTAACCTAGAAAAGATTTATGTAAAAACAAGTTGAGCATATTTTGCTGTTCATGTACGGAACCATCTTAAACTCTGTGACGCTATCTAGTCCTTCATGCACCGACTCTAAACCTAAGCAATGCCGTAACGGACTTTCAGGAGTCACGGTAATTGTCTCTGGTAATTAATGTTTGCATTTGGACATGAGGTTAGATATTAAATAAATTATGTATAATTCAAGAGATACGTGCAAGTTGGCTGAAAGTGTGAGAGCAGAGGAACACACGAATCCCGCAGAGAATGCACGAGAAAGAGAGAAATAGATTATTTCAGCTTGAAATGATCTAGACGAGTCAGCCTTATTTTCGATCTTGGGACAGTGTGACTGACGGGGAAGGGTGAAAGCTGACTGAATCTAACCGAGAGAGATTAGATTGTGAGTCCTGTGCGAACCTGGCCATCCTGACATTTTGTCAAGACTGACTTTGTTTCGCTGTCGATGTGAGCAGTAGTAAACCTCAAGTGCTGACGTGTTTAAAGTGCTGTGGCTCGTCCTCTTGTGGAAGGCGTGACTGCTTCGTCGTGCTCTCTCTTTGTTTTCTCGCTGTTTCCTAGGTGATTATACTATGGCTGACACATGTAATGAATTGACGCACACAGATGTTATTGATGAGTCACAATCGCAGTTGATATCTCTATTACTCACAGACGACAATCCTGTCCAGTCACCGTCAGCTACTCTCTAGCATGTCCCAATATTCAACAGGTAACAATCACAAAGTTCATCACCGCTGTTCACAATCATTCGCTTTCGCTACCTGTGTCAATGGTGCCACATATACAGGCATCAAGCAAGCATCTCTGACTGCTGGTTGTTCAGCTCCACCATTGGGCCAGTTGGCAACATGACTGGATTCTGTCTAGGCGGTCTTCTTGTAGAATGTACAAGAAAGGCATGAACACAGAAACTGTATCAACAATCAGTATTGCTAAATAAATCTACACTGGAAGCTTTCTTTTTAGCAAACGACTCCATATTTCCAAGCCACATGTTTATAACCAAAGCAAAAGCTAAAATTTGGCAACTTTTTTACTGGCTTGGTTTGTTGAATGGGGTTAAGAATATGTAAGATCTTGTCATGTTTTTTGTCAAAACAAAAAAAGAAAAGGAAATAATCCAAAAGCGCCTGTAGGAAAATGACAAGTATCATCAAGACATTTTCAACAGGTGGTAATTGACCATCTCGGTCCTATGCTAGTAACAACCACTAAAGGAAATATGTTTTTTTTTTTTTTTTGGAACTTTTTTTGACATTTATGCAAACAAAATTTTCCTGAATGTATACTACTAAATTTCATAATATTGGACAATTTTCAGGAACATTTATTACTCATTTTTTTTTCAAGGGTGGGGTTCTCAGAGGTAATTATTTCAGATACTGGAGCCCAGTTTATATCTGTAGCAACAAAAGTATTTCATAATTAGTTGGAGATTAAACAAAATGTTACATCAACCTACAGTGCACAAGCCCTTGGCTTAGTGGAACATTTCAAAAAATCATTTTGAAAAAATGATTTCCAGTATATTGTTCAAACATCCGCATTTATGGGATACACTGTTACTAGCAATCATGTTTGCTTACAGCGAAATATAACACACTTCGACAGGTTTCTCTCTGTTTGAATGAATGTATGGGTCAAACCTGTGCGGACTTTTACATATGTTAAGCATACTGATCACAGACAAGCCAGAACAGAAACGTCAAAGTTAGTCTACGAATTTGTAATTAATATGAGACAAAACATTACATTCAAACCTGAAAGGAAGTTTTGCTACTTTTGCCAAGTAAAGTCGGAGACCTTATGTGTGGAATGGCCCGGCTCATTTGTGGCTTTGAAGAAAATTTCTCAAGTTGACTATCACATCAAAAGTATTGAAAACTTGAGCATTTTCCTTGTTAACATGATCAAACCCTATTTCTTTGTTGACTTCCAGTGTGTTGCTGGCTGATACAAACTCTCGGAATCTAATAAATAAAGAGTTTGCTAATGCTTTTAACGAAGATATCCCAACACCATCAATATAAAGCCAATTCAAATACACTTAAAACTTTTAATCAAAAAGTTGGAAAATTATTGCCTTTCCTAGCGTTACGGTATACACGGATAACATACATATCCATACCAAAAAACATAACGTCATTATTTTATTGTCCTGGAAAGCGTGTTTAGACAAATTAAATATGCAAATTGAACAGTAAATCCATTAAAGACTGAAACTGGATTTACCAAAATTGAATATATGGAAAATGTTACTTTTGAGGGAATAGTTCAAATTGAAATTATTTTTTGAACAATGTTACAAATTTAGAAAGAAAAAACATTCTGTCACTACCGGGTTTCGTAAATTTTGATGTTAAAATTACACTAAATAATACATTTTTTTAACATCACCATTGCCAGAACTTTTCATTAAATAAAGTTTAGAAATTCAGATTGTTGTGACACATAATGGAATTTCTTTCAAGACTAAAACTTGTTTTTCAAGTTTTCCAGTTTTGAGACAGCCTGGCCACTCTAAAAGATGTTACTTACGGTCAGATGATAAGCGCCTACAACAGCACGTATACTTGCTCTCCCCCAAACAAACATGCAGACACATTACTAGTTGTAATGCACATGTCTCATAAACTTAAATCAGCTCAATAGGAGAACAATACATTTGGGCAAGAGACTTTAGCATTTTTAAATAAATTTAAAACTTTTTAAATCGGAAAAGAATTTACTATACATACAGACAACCTGAAATTCACAAAATTCCTGATGATAAATGCGAGTAGCAAGTCAATAATCTTCAAAAAGGCATCGATGATTTCCCAAATTAAGTCAACTATTGAACACACCAATAAGTACTGAGAATCATTTACCGGACTTAACGGCACGTGTGTAAGAATAGCTGTAAAACAGTTAATGTACTGATGTTTGCAAATTTCTATCACAGTTGTGTTACATGAATTCAAACAACTTTTGTGTGTGTGTGTGTTTTGTTTTTGTTTTGTTGTTGCTGATGAACAAATGTCAGAATTATGGTCGTAATGAAATTATTTATAAAGGGGGCAAAACTGTTACTGAAAAAAAAATTAACTACTGCAAAATGTTATTTAAATACAAAATTGTCAACCAATTATTGATGAAAACCAATATTGGGAATATTTGTGCTAGTGAGACATATTGATGAGATTGTTTACTGTAGAGACAAGTCCAAAGCTACTAGCCAATTAGTGAAGCCTACATAGTTGGCAGCATAGTCATACACAATTTAAGTTGCCATTTAGGGATTTCCGTGGATGTGAATCGCTAGGTTACACTTTAGTTTTAAAGCCACATTTTTATGAACTTCCGCACTTAATCAGGATTGCCAGACGCAATGTTCGATGTAATAAAGACTAAAGGACTGGATGGGGATAAACATAGAGCCATATTTTAGTCTTCCGTCATTAAAGAAAGAATGTCTGGCGGGAGGATCTCATCAAGCTAATCTTATTCGTAGGAGATCCTAAATGACGACAGTATGAATAGGTTGATGTGTAAACTTAATTAAATAAGGCCAGAGGAGGTTCCCAAATAAGACAGGTCAAGTGTTCCAATGCCAGTAAGGAAAGAATTTTTTTGAAAAGTGTGTCAAAGGGTTTATAGGTGAGTTCCACGCGAATCAGTGCATGATTGTTGGGAATCTCGAGAAAGGAAGTGGACAAGCCAACGTGGGAAAAAAGAAACAGTGATTCTGTGGGAGAAGTGAAAGGAAGTGGACAAGCCAACGTGGGAAAAAAGAAACAGTGATTCTGTGGGAGAAGTGAAAGGAAGTGGACAAGCCAACGTGGGAAAAAAGGAACAGTGATTCTGTGGGAGAAGTGAAAGGAAGTGGACAAGCCAACGTGGGAAACAAGGAACAGTGATTCTGTGGGAGAAGTGAAAGGAAGTGGACAAGCCAACGTGGGAAAAAAGGAACAGTGATTCTGTGGGAGAAGTGAAAGGAAGTGGACAAGCCAACGTGGGAAACAAGGAACAGTGATTCTGTGGGAGAAGTGAAAGGAAGTGGACAAGCCAACGTGTGAAACAAGGAACAGTGATTCTGTGGGAGAAGTGAAAGGAAGTGGTCGGTGTGGCTGAACCAGCGCTTGAGAGAAATTTAAGAGCGGAAAGCGGGGTGGATTATCTGGCGAATGCAGACAAATGGCCCGAGAGGGTAATGGAAGCTTGTTGATAACTGAAGTGGCGAAATGATGCTTGCTGTATGCCAGTGATGAGAAGCAGGAGTGAATGACAGGTACAAGTAAAAACAATGTGACTTTGTGTAATCACCAAATCAGCTCTTTGTAACGTGGAAACAACAAGAGCAGATACATATTTCGCAGACAAAGTCGCTGATGGATCAGCTAGACACATTTATGTGTGTTCAATCTGGTCTTCATCTTGTGTCGTTACTAATATCTCACACGGCTGGAAAAGGTGACAGCAATAGATAAGGTCGCTGCAGTCCTACAGGTGACAAAGGAGAGTTATTACACATACGCACATACCCGCGCACACACAGGCACGCACACATTAATGCACACACGCACGCGTAAAAAAATCCACAAGCAGTATGATAAGATATTGCTTTCCCAAAGCGAAAGAGTAAATACAGCATTGAAATTAAAAGAGTATGTCTGTTTCAGGGGCTGCCAGACCGTTGTTCAGCCCGTTATTGAAGAGAAAGATGGAGATCATCTATAGGCAGCGTGACGATGGCGAGTGGGAGAAGGAGATGGGCTTCAGGGACTCGCCCTTGAGATTTGTGTCCACGATCGTATTTAACCAGCAGTTCGACTACGGCGAGATTGGAATCCCAGTCGTGGTAGGATAGTCTCTCATTCTCTCTCTCTCTCTCTCGTTTTCTCTCTCTCTCTCTCGTTTTCTCTCTCTCTCTCGTTTTCTCTCTCTCTCTCTCGTTTTCTCTCTCTCTCTCGTTTTCTCTCTCTCTCGTTTTCTCTCTCTCTCTCTCGTCTCTCTCTCTCTCTCTCTCTCTCTCTCTCTCTCTCTCTCTCTCTCATAATTTACCAGTCGTGAGGATGTGCGGTATGGACAGCGATAGGGCGAACACAATGCGATACACTGGCATATCTTTCAACACATGCGTGTCATGCTCTGTCATGGACTTGCATTAAGTGTTATAGACTACCGTCTGGGCCTTCTCACTGTCAGCAGAACCCAGCTGGAAAGACTGGTCCGGGTACAATCCGAGGCTATGAGACTCATACTCGGCTGTACAAAAAAGACACCTCGTGCCATGTTGTGCTGTATGTCCTGGATATGCGGACGATGGCCAGCAGACATAAAGTGGTACAGGTAAAAGCGTTCATTAGGATATCAGCAGGTGTTAACCACTCACTGCACAACGCTATCAATGATATAAAGCTGGTGTGTCTCAAAAGAGGCTCCTCCTGGATGGCCGAGGCAGAAAATCTAATCCAGCAAGTATGTGCCCTAGACGAGGTCAGTCAAGGAAAAGAATAGACGGATACACCAGTAAAACTGCGTGACTTGGAGACCCTGAGGTTAGGGCACTGACTGATCAGCACTCACGAAGTCGCCTTTTACACTGATGGGTCTGTGAAGAGCGGGTCAAAATCGAGGTGGGGCATACACAGCACAAAGGGTGGGAACAACAATAAAAGAGGATGATAGTAGTGTTTTAGAGACACTACTTTAAGCATGACCATGGATATAACTACATAGGTAGCAGAATAACGGCCACACTTGCAGTTATCAGTTCAGACTCCGGAACTTGTTTCAAAAAATCTCTACAGGCAGTCTCCGCTTTGAATGGCTAGAAAGCATTCGCTGGATCTTTACACCGGGTATGCAGGAGTATATGTTAATGAAAGAGCTGACCAGCTGGCAAGTACTGCGCCAATGCAAATGGAAAGAAGCATGGACAGGGCTGATATCATCAACGCTGAACCGACTATTTTGTAGGATAAAGCTGAATCTCTGATGCTAACACGACTGCGTTACCGAGGAATTAGGCTTTGAAGCACAACCATGCCATCTTTGAGGTAAAGACAGGAGATTCTATAACCAATTTCTTATGTAAACACTCACTGGAGACTGAGCACGCTTCGTGATGCCTAATGTGCAAAGAAGTCGACTGTGATAACATAATATAGATAAGACGACAGTAATAAATAAAGCCACTGGGAGAGAAGAAGAAGACATGAGAACGCAGAAACAGCACAGGGGGAAGAATGAGAGATGTTATAGGAATCGGATAAGCGGAAGAAGAGCGAACTAAGAAACGAACTAAGGGAAACTTTGTTTTTTTAAGTCACAAATTTACAAGTTTACATTAAGCCTTTCCATGCACTCGTCGTTTACACATCAGTCGTAAAGAAAGAAGGGGAAAGAGGATAAGAGTGAGAGGAATACATCCGCCTCTCCGGAAATGTGACTATCTGTTCACCAGATTTGTCATCCCAGGTATCGACGATAGAGATCAATGAGGAATATCAGGAGGAGCATGAGATCGAACGAACAAACTTTATTTTCAAAGGGTTACAAATTGGGCACGCAGGCCTGTCTGACATTCGGCCCTTCTAAGCACTCATTTTTCAGAGTACCAATGCATGTTATTAATAATGCATGCTATGGATATAATAAAGAAATATAAATTATAGAATAATGCATGCACACATCATGTGTACACAATCGTACACACTCACACACACGTATACATACTCCTACGTTCTCATACATGCACACTCATATACATACATTGTTATACATATACACATGCATCACATAAAACACATACACATACATAGACATAAATGCACAAACAGAAAACACACACACATACATTTATGGATATACATGCACATACAAATTCCACACATACATGCACAAACACCAACATATGCTCACAACTACACATTTACTCTCACATGAATACATACACGCATACATACAAACACACATTTATACATACACTCACATCTTTAAACACATACCTAAATACACACACACATATTTACACAGCTAAATATACATACATACAACAACCAACATGCATACATACACACACAGATACATGCATACATACATGCCCACACACATGCGTATATACACACATATGCATGCATACATAAATACATACATACATACATTCCCACACACATTACACACATACACACATGCATACATACATAGATACATACATACATGCCCACACACATTACACACACATGCATACATACACACATTGATACATACATACATGCATACATACATAGATACGTACATACATGCATACATTGATGCCCACACACATTACACACATACACACACATGCATACATACATACATAATGAGAAAGAGAAGGAGGCAGGGAATGAGGAAAGAATTAACGAAGCAACTTTATTTTCAAAGAATCACAAATTAGCACGCAGATCCGTCTTCCATCCGGTCCTTCCAAACACCCAAAGTTTACACAGCAGTTGTATTTTATCTTCCACCCGGTCCTTCCAAACACCCAAAGTTTACACAGCAGTTGTATTTTATCTTCCACCCGGTCCTTCCAAACACCCAAAGTTTACACAGCAGTTGTATTTTATCTTCCACCCGGTCCTTCCAAACACCCAAAGTTTACACAGCAGTTGTATTTTATCTTCCACCCGTCCTTCCAAACACCCAAAGTTTACACAGCAGTTGTATTTTATCTTCCACCCGGTCCTTCCAAACACCCAAAGTTTACACAGCAGTTGTATTTTATCTTCCACCCGGTCCTTCCAAACACCCAAAGTTTACACAGCAGTTGTATTTTATCTTCCACCCGGTCCTTCCAAACACCCAAAGTTTACACAGCAGTTGTATTTTATCTTCCACCCGGTCCTTCCAAACACCCAAAGTTTACACAGCAGTTGTATTTTATCTTCCATCCGGTCCTTCCAAACACCCAAAGTTTACACAGCAGTTGTATTTTATCTTCCACCCGGTCCTTCCAAACACCCAAAGTTTACACAGCAGTTGTATTTTATCTTCCATCCGGTCCTTCCAAACACCCAAAGTTTACACAGCAGTTGTATTTTATCTTCCATCCGGTCCTTCCAAACACCCAAAGTTTACACAGCAGTTGTATTTTATCTTCCACCCGGTCCTTCCAAACACCCAAAGTTTACACAGCAGTTGTATTTTATCTTCCACCCGGTCCTTCCAAACACCCAAAGTTTACACAGCAGTTGTATTTTATCTTCCACCCGGTCCTTCCAAACACCCAAAGTTTACACAGCAGTTGTATTTTATCTTCCACCCGGTCCTTCCAAACACCCAAAGTTTACACAGCAGTTGTATTTTATCTTCCACCCGGTCCTTCCAAACACCCAAAGTTTACACAGCAGTTGTATTTTATCTTCCACCCGGTCCTTCCAAACACCCAAAGTTTACACAGCAGTTGTATTTTATCTTCCACCCGGTCCTTCCAAACACCCAAAGTTTACACAGCAGTTGTATTTTATCTTCCACCCGGTCCTTCCAAACACCCAAAGTTTACACAGCAGTTGTATTTTATCTTCCACCCGGTCCTTCCAAACACCCAAAGTTTACACAGCAGTTGTATTTTATCTTCCACCCGGTCCTTCCAAACACCCAAAGTTTACACAGCAGTTGTATTTTATCTTCCACCCGGTCCTTCCAAACACCCAAAGTTTACACAGCAGTTGTATTTTATCTTCCACCCGGTCCTTCCAAACACCCAAAGTTTACACAGCAGTTGTATTTTATCTTCCACCCGGTCCTTCCAAACACCCAAAGTTTACACAGCAGTTGTATTTTATCTTCCACCCGGTCCTTCCAAACACCCAAAGTTTACACAGCAGTTGTATTTTATCTTCCACCCGGTCCTTCCAAACACCCAAAGTTTACACAGCAGTTGTATTTTATCTTCCACCCGGTCCTTCCAAACACCCAAAGTTTACACAGCAGTTGTATTTTATCTTCCACCCGGTCCTTCCAAACACCCAAAGTTTACACAGCAGTTGTATTTTATCTTCCACCCGGTCCTTCCAAACACCCAAAGTTTACACAGCAGTTGTATTTTATCTTCCACCCGGTCCTTCCAAACACCCAAAGTTTACACAGCAGTTGTATTTTATCTTCCACCCGGTCCTTCCAAACACCCAAAGTTTACACAGCAGTTGTATTTTATCTTCCACCCGGTCCTTCCAAACACCCAAAGTTTACACAGCAGTTGTATTTTATCTTCCACCCGGTCCTTCCAAACACCCAAAGTTTACACAGCAGTTGTATTTTATCTTCCACCCGGTCCTTCCAAACACCCAAAGTTTACACAGCAGTTGTATTTTATCTTCCACCCGGTCCTTCCAAACACCCAAAGTTTACACAGCAGTTGTATTTTATCTTCCACCCGGTCCTTCCAAACACCCAAAGTTTACACAGCAGTTGTATTTTATCTTCCACCCGGTCCTTCCAAACACCCAAAGTTTACACAGCAGTTGTATTTTATCTTCCACCCGGTCCTTCCAAACACCCAAAGTTTACACAGCAGTTGTATTTTATCTTCCACCCGGTCCTTCCAAACACCCAAAGTTTACACAGCAGTTGTATTTTATCTTCCACCCGGTCCTTCCAAACACCCAAAGTTTACACAGCAGTTGTATTTTATCTTCCACCCGGTCCTTCCAAACACCCAAAGTTTACACAGCAGTTGTATTTTATCTTCCACCCGGTCCTTCCAAACACCCAAAGTTTACACAGCAGTTGTATTTTATCAACAGAGCATGTTATGTTTATTTAATTTCTAAAAAAAAAATATATATAAATTGAGCAAGAAAAAAAAGGGGGAGGCATAAGAGGAAGAGGAAAAATAGGACTATTATAAAACTGCATGACCAGTGAATTGTTTGTTTCCCCAGTGCACACAACTGCATGACCAGGGACTTGTTTGTTTCCTCAGTGCACACAACATCATGACCAGTGACTTGTTTGTTTCCTCAGTGCACACAACTTCATGACCGCGGACTTGTTTGTTTCCTCAGTGCACACAACTACATGTCCAGGGACTTGTTTGTTTTCTCAGTGCACACAACTTCATGACCAGGGACTTGTTTGTTTCCCCAGTGCACAATGACTCCGGACGGCAAGTCTTTACGAGAGCTGATAGAGACCTACGAGGGTCCACGCGTGGTCATCTCCGTCCAGCATAAAGTGTCTGGGAAAAAAATGACCATTGTATGTAATAAATGTTAATATTGCGTGTATTAAATTTTATTATTGTGTCAGTATTGTGTGTATTACATGTTAGTATTGTGTGTATTACATGTTAGTATTGTGTGTATTACATGTCAGTATTGTGTGTATTACATGTTAGTATTGTGTGTATTACATGTCAGTATTGTGTGTATTACATGTCAGTATTGTGTGTATTACATGTCAGTATTGTGTGTATTACATGTTAGTATTGTGTGTATTACATGTCAGTATTGTGTGTATTACATGTCAGTATTGTGTGTATTACATGTTAGTATTGTGTGTATTACATGTCAGTATTGTGTGTATTACATTGTCAGTATTGTGTGTATTACATTGTCAGTATTGTGTGTATTACATGTTAGTATTGTGTGCATTACATGTCAGTATTGTGTGTATTACATGTCAGTTTTGTGTCTATTACATGTCAGTATTGTGTGTCTTACATGTCATTATTGTGTGTATTACATGTCAGTATTGTGTGTATTACATGTCAGTATTGTGTGTATTACATGTCATTATTGTGTGTATTACATGTCAGTATTGTGTGTCTTACATGTCATTATTGTGTGTATTACATGTCAGTATTGTGTGTATAACCTTATCTTTTAAGGTTATGTTTGTAGGCCAGGAACCTTGGGATGAACTATGCAAGGTTATGTTTGTAACCTTGATTTTAGGGGGATGATCAAGGCCGGATTTAGGCTTGATGAGGCCCTAATCTGTATACAATCCTGAGGCCCCTACATTATACCACCTAAACTGCAAGTACAAATCTTTTTAACGTTATGCATCATTGTCATATTTAATTGGTAGCAATAGAAATGATAAAGAATGAGTTTACAAAATGGCAGACATTATATTATACACAGTCCCCTGATGCAATTCTACCCTGTGCAATAAACTCATTTCCTAAGCGAAATCCTGGAAGGCTGTCTTCTAACCACCAACAAACACTAATACTATATACTATGTACCTGTCCGCACACCAACAAACACTATATACTATATACTATGTACCTGTCCGCACACCAACAAACACTATATACTATATACTATGTACCTGTCCGCACACCAACAAACACTAATACTATATACTATGTACCTGTCCGCACACCAACAAACACTAATGCTATATACTATGTACCTGTCCGCACACCAACAAACACTAATGCTATATACTATGTACCTGTCCGCACACCAACAAACACTAATGCTATATACTATGTACCTGTCCGCACACCAACAAACACTAATGCTATATACTATGTACCTGTCCGCACACCAACAAACACTAATGCTATATACTATGTACCTGTCCGCACACCAACAAACACTAATACTATATAGTATGTACCTGTCCGCACACCAACAAACACTAATACTATATACTATGTACCTGTCCGCACACCAACAAACACTAATACTATATACTATGTACCTGTCCGCACACCAACAAACACTAATACTATATACTATGTACCTGTCCGCACACCAACAAACACTAATGCTATATACTATGTACCTGTCCGCACACCAACAAACACTAATACTATATACTATGTACCTGTCCGCACACCAACAAACACTAATACTATATACTATGTACCTGTCCGCACACCAACAAACACTAATACTATATACTATGTACCTGTCCGCACACCAACAAACACTAATACTATATACTATGTACCTGTCCGCACACCAACAAACACTAATACTATATACTATGTACCTGTCCGCACACCAACAAACACTAATACTATATACTATGTACCTGTCCGCACACCAACAAACACTAATACTATATACTATGTACCTGTCCGCACACCAACAAACACTAATACTATATACTATGTACCTGTCCGCACACCAACAAACACTAATACTATATACTATGTACCTGTCCGCACACCAACAAACACTAATACTATATACTATGTACCTGTCCGCACACCAACAAACACTAATACTATATACTATGTACCTGTCCGCACACCAACAAACACTAATACTATATACTATGTACCTGTCCGCACACCAACAAACACTAATACTATATACTATGTACCTGTCCGCACACCAACAAACACTAATACTATATACTATGTACCTGTCCGCACACCAACAAACACTAATACTATATACTATGTACCTGTCCGCACACCAACAAACACTAATACTATATACTATGTACCTGTCCGCACACCAACAAACACTAATACTATATACTATGTACCTGTCCGCACACCAACAAACACTAATACTATATACTATGTACCTGTCCGCACACCAACAAACACTAATACTATATACTATGTACCTGTCCGCACACCAACAAACACTAATACTATATACTATGTACCTGTCCGCACACCAACAAACACTAATACTATATACTATGTACCTGTCCGCACACCAACATATACACTAGATAGAAAACTGACACCCCTGCCACGTGACCGTGTGACAGCTTAAGACGGAGTCTGACAGTCCAATCACAGTGTGCTGTCCTGCCTCTGACATTTAAAAATGTGTTTTAATGGGCGGAGCCAGGACCCGGAATTGTAAGTAGTTCCCCATTCCCAATTACCATCTTTTATTGGTCTAAGTGGGGGGGGGGGGGGGTATGGGGCCTCAGCCTACAGGTTCTAGCTCCCATGTGTTGTCAAGCACTTGACCTGCTCACACAGCGTCTCCGCTACACCAGCCGCCAGAGGCATGAGGCTCATTTATTGCTTCTGTTTCTGTTTGTCTCTTCTACAGGGTTACAGAGCCAACAATGTCGTTTTGAAAAGGTTCTTCCAGCGAGTTGCGTAGCAGTAGTTTGTGTGGCACCAACAACTCTACACCAAACCTTTTCATCGTGTGACATAACAGTAGTTTGTGTGGCACCAACAACTCTACACCAAACCTTCTCAACTTGTGGCATAACAGTAGTTTGTGTGGCACCAACAACTCTACACCAAACCTTTTCATCGTGTGACATAACAGCAGTTTGCATGGCACCAGCAACTCTACACCAGCCTTCTCAACTTGTGACATAACAGTAGTTTGCATGGCACCAGCAACTCTACACCAGCCTTCTCAACTTGTGACATAACAGTAGTTTGCATGGCACCAGCAACTCTACACCAGCCTTCTCAACTTGTGACATAACAGTAGTTTGCATGGCACCAGCAACTCTACACCAGCCTTCTCAACTTGTGACATAACAGTAGTTTGCATGGCACCAGCAACTCTACACCAGCCTTCTCAACTTGTGGCATAACAGTAGTTTGTGTGGCACCATAACTTTACACCAACCTTCTCAACTTGTATATTCGGACAGTAAGCTATCTACAGGTACGTGATCATCGTTACTGAGCAGTCGCGTTATCTGGTTGTCTAAAATCATTAACATCAGTATAACATTTGTTGTCTGTCCGTTGACATCGCAGCCACCCGCTAAACCTCCTGTGATCCCTGTTTGCCAGTGTGGGAAGGCATAAAAAGTGTTCACTCGTAGTTTATATTTGCTTATGTGCAGGACTGGGTGGAGTCTTGAGGGGCGTTTGTGTGCGCTGTGTTAGTGTCGTTTGTATGGGGTATGTAAGGTGGCGTGTGTTTGGGATGTGTTAGGTGGCGTTTGTGTGGGCTGTATTAGGTGGCGTTTGTGTGCGCTGTGTTAGGTGTCGTTGGTGTGGGATGTGTTAGGTGGCGTTTGTGTGCGCTGTGTTAGGTGGCGTTTGTGTGGAGCTGTCTTGAGTGGCGTTTGTGTGCGCTGTGTTAGGTGTCGTTTGTGTGGGGCTGTCTTGAGGGGCGTTTGTGTGCGCTGTGTTAGGTGGAATTTATGGGAAGATATGTGCTGAACTTATATCAGTATTCACGTGTGTCATCGTTGAGGCCATTCGTCAAGACGCTTGATGATGATTATGGCACAGGTGAGTGCAAAAGACCAAGTCTACTTCAGGCTCTGGAAAAAGTTTCCTCAAATAAACGTCTTTGGCCTGTGGGTCTACTCCAGTGGTCACCAGTAGCGGAGAATAAATGCGTTTGAGATATGGGCACATTCCTGGGGTCACCAGTAGCGGAGAATAAATGCGTTTGAGATATGGGCACATTCCTGGGGTCACCAGTAGCGGAGAATAAATGCGTTTGAGATATGGGCACATTCCTGGGGTCACCAGTAGCGGAGAATAAATGCGTTTGAGATATGGGCACATTCCTGGGGTCACCAGTAGCGGAGAATAAACGCGTTTGAGATATGGGCCCATTCCTGGGGTCATCAGTAGCGGAGAATAAACGCGTTTGAGATATGGGCCCATTCCTGGGGTCACCAGTAGCGGACAATGAAGGCGTTTGAGATATGGGCCCATTCCTGGGGTCATCAGTAGCGGAGAATAAATGCGTTTGAGATATGGGCACATTCCTGGGGTCACCAGTAGCGGAGAATAAATGCGTTTGAGATATGGGCACATTCCTGGGGTCACCAGTAGCGGAGAATAAATGCGTTTGAGATATGGGCACATTCCTGGGGTCACCAGTAGCGGAGAATAAACGCGTTTGAGATATGGGCCCATTCCTGGGGTCATCAGTAGCGGAGAATAAACGCGTTTGAGATATGGGCCCATTCCTGGGGTCACCAGTAGCGGACAATGAAGGCGTTTGAGATATGGGCCCATTCCTGGGGTCATCAGTAGCCTGCAACAACCAGTAGAGCTGAATAAGCCGGGCTAACGTGCTGGGAGGCAGACAGTGTCACGAGATGACGGACCCGCGGAAGGCAGACAGTGTCACATGATGAAAGACCCACGAGATTGTATAAACAGCCCCTGGCCGTGACCAGCAGTGTGAAATATAATCAACAGTGGTCAGATCAAGTATCTGGATCTCACCTGCTCGTCCCAATAACTGCCATCGTTGACGACATTCAGAATACTCAACCAGCTTCTACTTCTATTGTTCAAATGCATCATCTGCCACGCTAGTCGTCATGGCGCTTGACAATGATGATGATGATGAATGCTACGATTTTCAAAGGTCCAGGCTACTAGAGGTTGTGGGACGTGTTTCTAAAGATTAAACGGTCCAGGGGTATTGTGAGAACCAAGTGTGATCGGAAGCTGGCCGTAAACTGCTGTCAAATTCGTTTCTTAGGTGGTAGGTGACAGAAAGGGGATCCACCAATAGTTGTGTCAGTCACTTAATCCTTGTCTCAGATGGGAGGTGACAGAAAGGGGATCCACCAATAGTTGTGTCAGTCACTTTATCCTTGTCTCAGGTGGGAGGTGACAGATCGGATCCACCAATAGTTGTGTCAGTCACTAAATCCGTGTCTCAGATGAGAGGTGACAGAAAGTGGATCCACCAATAGTTGTGTCAGTCACTAAATTCTTGTCTCAGGTGGGATGTGACAGATCGGATCCACCAATAGTTGTGTCAGTCACTAAATCCTTGTCTCAGGTGGGAGGTGACAGATCGGATCCACCAATAGTTGTGTCAGTCACTAAATCCTTGTCTCAGGTGGGAGGTGACAGATCGGATCCACCAATAGTTGTGTCAATCACTACATTGTTGTCTCAGGTGGGAGGTGACAAATCGGATCCACCAATAGTTGTGTCAGTCACTAAATTCTTGACTCAGGTGGGAGGTGACAGATCGGATCCACCAATAGTTGTGTCAGTCACTACCTTGTTGTCTCATGTAAGAGGTGACAGAATGTTCCCAAATCTGTAGATAGAGCAGAAGCAAGATACCAGAAGACCATTGGTTGATATTTCACCGCCAGTTCTCATTGTGACAACCCCTGAGTTTTTAATGCTCATGACAAAATGTGTGTCATAGGGCCCTGACTCAAGCCACTGAGTTTTTAATGGGCTTCAAAACATTCACCTCTCGCCATTTGGGTTTTAAAAAAGGAACGTAACATTCCAGGCAAGAGTTGGCAAGTTTAAGTATCTCCTGGTGTTATCAACAGATTTCTCGGCATTTGTACTCGTACAGAAATACTGGGCACTGCATGTAGAAGGCAGCTTTAGTGCTGGAGTCCAGTTATCTCGCTCCACTTATCTCTGTTGTCACAAACATTTAGTTGGTCAGTGGACGTGTTGTGCTCAGCTGGTGTGATCAAGTGACCGCACTGACGTCCAGTCTACGAACCACTGGGTTGGTCCTTCCAGTGCTTTCTGCTCAAGTCTGTTGTCCATTCCGTGTCCCTGTTCTCACTTGTTCTCTTTTGCTCAGTATCGTTCTGGTCAACGATGTGAGCGTCTGCCGCCGATGAGACACGTCGACACGGCTCCACGGAAAGGTTTGCCATCGGCTACCTAGTTGTGATTTGATATTGAATATATTTTGTCGGGTGATTGTACATCCAATAGAGCGCTATAACATATTTTAATGCAACCAAACGCTACAATGAAGTATTATTTTAAATTACAACAACAACAAAAATTTAAAAATATTATCAATTTGTTACAATAATGAGCTATATAATAATTTGTTACAATAAAGTGCACATGAAATATTGACTGGTCCGCTTTTTTGTTGTTGTTGCTGCTGTTGTTGTTGTTGTTGTTGTTGTTGATGTTGCTTCTATATTTTTCTATGAAATGTGTAATTTCACATCTCTCTTTAAAAATGCACAATTTACTCTTGTAATGTTGGGATCATGTTGTTGGCATTCAGTTGTGACCGTACTTGTAATGTTGGGATCATGTTATTGGCATTCAGTTGTGACCGTACTTGTAATGTTGGGATCATGTTGTTGGCATTCAGTTGTGACCGTACTTGTAATCAGGTTGTAACTGGTACTATTAACATTTCCACGCTTGATTGGCTACTGAAGAAGGGAACGGATATGGGAACATCAGATCGTCTGGCATTTATTTCTACCTGTAGACAATTGGAAATTACAATCTTACAATTTCGTTACACACATTTTAACTAGATATCGCTGGTCTGGTGAAAGTAGACTTATCAATGTACTTGAACAATCTATTCCCCGTGGCTCTTGATAGCATTCGACGTATTTAGTTAGGTCCAAGTTCGATTCGTTCTGTATTATACTTCTCAATGAAAGCTTCGGTCGGAGCATGGCAGATATAATTGCAGCTGTCCATTAAGTCCACGGCAGGTGGGTGCAACATAATCTAGAGCTGTGTTCACTTGACACTAACAGATCATCGTAATGCCACGAAAACCCCACCAACCGTTGACTATCCAGGCGCGCACTCATACCGGGATTGTAACCAACTCAACCAGCATGCTGAGTTTGTGAGGACGGGTGTTCTGTTTGCAGAGTGGCATGCTTGCCTTCGGAGGTCAAAGGTGAAGAGTTTGCTTAGAACATTCGGTCAGACTTGTGAGAAAGGCCTGTTTGGAGCACGTGCACATTCTGGAACAGCAAACCGATCATCCTGTGAGAGTGAGGCAGCGGGGAGTGACGCAACGGGGAGTGACGCAGCGGGGAGTGACGCAGCTGGGAGTGACGCAGCGGGGAGTGACGCAGTGGGTAGTGACGCAGCGGGGAGTGACGAGTAGACATGGCCGATACTCGACGCTCAGAGGAAAGGCAAGACTGGCTTCTTGCACCACTGGTGTCTGCTGAGGATAGGGACGAAATGCATATGGAAATGCCCTGAGTATGGCAATGTCAATTCTTGGATGAAATCAAATCAAACTAATTGTCACATTTGCCACCACCGCTACGTCTTCTAGATGATGATGAGGAATATGATAATATGATGATTTACGATAGACGACGATGACGAGACGATGAGGAATTTGATGAGATAATGATGATGATGCTTATAAGGAGATGATGATGAGATAAGATG